AGAAAAACCTTTACAACTGAAGAAGAAAATAAAGAAGTAAATCAATTGTTAATTGAAGTCCCAGCTTATGAAAGTCAGTACTCAAGACTAGATTGTGGGAAAAAATTTGTTTCTCCACATTTGACGATAGTAACACTATATGAAGAATACAAGTGTTCCCTATCTGAACAAAAGAAAGAAAGTAAATGTGAAAACCACGAAAAAATGACAGTTGCCCAAAACAATAAAGCAAGGAAACAAACTGGCAGGAAGAAGGGAAAAAATGTAAATACTAAATAAAACTTTAAAAAAATATTGATTCGTTTTTTATACAAGTTTTTCTTCATTTTTGTAATTAAATAGAACTTACTTGGTTTAGTATCACTTAAATGAATAAACCAAAGTTTTTTTTCTTGCTAAATGTTCTTGTATTCATATATATTAAAACCTACTTTGGTCTCAAGAATCCCATTATTAATATTATTAAATATTATTTTTTATGCTTTTTACAATAGTTTGTGTTATGCGTTAAGCGTGTTAACTTCATGATTTTTTGCAAATTGTCCATGTAAGAAAAAGTTTATTATTATTTTATGATACTTCTATGATTTGTTTATATTATTTATTGATTGTGTGATTGAGAGAAATAAATATTTAGTTGATCGACAATATTTAAAATAATTTTGAGGGAATTATTCTTATAAAAACTCCAAAAGTATAACTCGAACAGATTATTGCAAACTTGAAATGCATTTATCTCAAAATAGTGTTTTATAACTTAACTCTCTTTACATACAAAACACAGATATATAAAAATGGTTCATTTTGTAATAAGTATCAAAAGTATTTAAAAAACGAGTTTATTTTTAAAAATTAAGTATTATTTAGAAAAGTTCGTTCAGTCTAAATATGGAAACAATTACATTACGTAAAATTCTACGTGTAAAGTTGAATAAGGTCCACTCATAATTTTGTCCAGCCGTTTTTACTGGAAAATAAGGATTAAAAAAATTGCAAAACAAAAATTATAACACATGCATTTTTACAAATGCGCCACTTGAACTTCCATTAAATTTTTAACAGCGCATTAAACCGTCAAAACCCGTTACCGCTTATTCTATGTTCCGGCTGGGGTCTACAGTTTTAGCTTCGCATTACCTTTTAGAAAAAAGGTTACTTTATAGATTCTCAAAGCCCTTCGAGACCGCTAGAGAAATATCGTGTTCACAAAGTGCCAGGCCAGGGAGTCTATACCGAAAAGTAATTTAAATGAGAACATTCGCGTTCGATCGGTAAATTAATTAGATGGGTAAGTAGTTGGTTGGTAGGTCGTTTAATGTTGTTAGTTAATTATTTTAAAGCGGCCTTTTTTTTAAGAGAATTGTAACAGGAGATGAATAAAACTTTGCGATGTATGCTTTATCCAATCTAACGACGCAAAAACATTAATGTGGCTTGCTTTTTAATGAAAGTTTTTAGATGTGTTTGGAATTTCCTATGCTTATAATAAAAATCTTGTTTAGATAATAAATTAATGCGTTAATTTATTGGTTAGTATTAAAAGATATAGAGTATCTATAATACGATGACCGTATGTATTATTTGAAAAAAAAGTACAAAAATACAAAAATGTAGTAAAAATACAAAATGAATCATTTTTTTTTGGACAATCATAACTTTTTAGCATTAAAAATAAAAACTATACTATGCTAAACATTAAAACAATATGCTGCTATATATTATATCAATTAAACTACTGAAGCAAATGAAACATTGCATTACAAGTCTCATCAAAATTTACATATACCTGCATCGCTTTACGATAGTGGAAATAAACATTTGTAACTTTTCCGACGTCTAATAATTATTTATTAAAGAAAATAAACGCTCGATAGCTGCACGTAGATTGGTAAATAGATACAATGAAAAATATAGGCAAATATCCGATTTATTTAAAGACACGAAGAAGATATAACTCTCAAAAAGATCCGCAAATCGGATTATTACACGGCGATTGGCAACATTGTTATGCAAACAACATTGTTGCGAGACATATAGTTGAACGATATTTTATACAATGTCTATACCCAGGTATGGATTTATTTTTGTCCACTTTGTCCAAGTTTTATATTGGTTCACTATTTCAAATGCAGTTCAAACAGACATATATTAAATTGTATGATCCGTTTTAAATTCGTTCAATCTGTATAGAGTATGCGAAGAAAAAATGAGCCGTATAGAGTTTGGTTTTCGAAACGCAATGAAACCTTCAGTGAAGACCTTCACTGAAAATAAAGAAGTGTGAAGCAGTGTGAATGGTCAACCAATAAAAAAAGTAAAAATATACCTACCTTGGTTTAAACTTCAATAAAAACTAGGACCATTTCATTGAAATAAAATGTAGGATAGAAAAGGCAAGATCTGCATTTCAAAAAATAGCTGAGCTATTTTAATGCCATGATTTATCAGTATCCATTAAACTCAGGTTACTATGATGTTATATCTTTTCTATACTGTTATACGGAGTTAGGTTATGGACACTCACAGACGTTACTGCAAGAAAATTGAGGCTTTCGAAATGTGGTTTTATCGTCATATCCTCGAGATATACTATACCGACTATATTACTAACCAGAACGTTTTATTAAGAAGGAAATAGAAAAAAGAAAAAAAGTTGTTTATCACAATAAAAATAGCAGAAATAGAATACCTCGGTCGCATTAGGAGAAACAGCGAAATATGGGTTATTGTAATGGCAAAGTGAAAGGAAAACGAGGACCAGAAAGGTGAAGGATTTACTGGCTGAAATATCTGCGAACGTGGTTCAATACAACAACCAGAAATTCAGAGCAGCAGTTTGCAAATTACAGATTGCCATGATGGTCGCCAACATCCAACACAGATAGGCACTACAAGAAGAAGATGGAATTAAACCTAATTTTATTGCAAAAAAAATTACAAAAATCGTTAAAAAAAGAAATAGTTTTTACGTAAGGATTTTGTTATAACCTACAGATGTTAATTAAATGGGGCTTTCTCGTTAACCCAAAATAAGGTGACCTATTTGGCCTCTATCGTGTGATATTCTAACTAGGTGATTTTGATAATCCACTAACATACACTACCATAAAACTTTCCACCTAGAATAACTTTTAAGCCTCTAATTTTTAGTAAAAATGCAAAAACACGTCAATTAATATTTGAAGGGGGAGACATTATGTCATATTTAAGGTTGTTGAAAAATGCTCCCTTTCACGTTCCGTATCATTCCTTTATTTTTCCCTAATTACTTGTGCCTTTTTTATTTGATATTTAGATTCTCCCTTTTGTACTGATTTCAGAAATGTATTATGCTTAAATTGATATCTCTGAGTTTGTGAGAAAAATAAATACGAAAGCGTGGATTAAAAAAAATATTTTTTTAACAATTTTATTACAAACATTTAGAATCAACATTTCACAACCAAAAATATTTACAATAGTTGTTTAAACTGATTGCCATTCTCTTGCATACAATATTACCATCTATTTTGAAATTCTTCTTTGACATTGCTTAACACGTCTGCATTTAATTGTAGACATTCATCCTCTATTATTTGTCGTAAATCATTTCGAGATTCTGGTTGAGTAACGCAAACTTTTGTTTTTAACTACTCCCATAAGAAAAAGTCTAGGGCTGTTAAATCCGGTGACCTAGGTGGCCAATCCATCATTTTTCATATTCTACTTATCCAAGGAGCGAAATAAGTTTCGTTTAAAAATTGTCGCACAGGTAGATCAAAGTGTGAAAGAGCTCCATGATGTTGAAATACAACCAAATCTTAGGAAAGGTTATCATTACCATTAGAATAACACACCATACGTTTAACCTTTAAGGATTTTTCTTCTTCTGGATGTGCCTATCCGTTACGAATGTTGGTGATCATCATGGCAATCTTTATTTTATCTGCAGCAGCGCGGAAAAGCAGTACATATGTAATATTGAACTAGATTCTGAGGTTCTTTAACCAAAATGTTCTTCTTCTTCCTGGACCCCGCTTTCCAAATATTTTTCCTTGCAGGATGGCATGAAAGAAAGCATATCTGGATTCATTTCGCATAATATGTCCGAACAATTGTAACTATCCAGATTTGATAGTGGTCAGTATCTCTCGGTTCTTATTCATTCTTCTGAGGACCTGCTTATTTGTGACTCGGTCAGTCCACGACATCTTAAGTATTCTCCGATATAGCCACATCTCAAATACTTCCAGTTTTCTGCACATATCTTCGTTCAAGGTCCACGATTTAACACCATAAAAGAGGACAGAGAAGACGTAGCATCGCAGCATTCTGACTTTTGTATTAAGAGAGAGATTGTGACTCTTGAAGAATGCCCCCATCCGATTGAAGGTGGATCTAGCTTTTTCGATGTGTGCTCTAATCTCCTGGTTGTTGGTCCATTCTTCATTTATTATATGGTGGCGAGGTAGTTGTAGTGCGCCAGTTTTTCTACAGTGATTGGTTGACATGGAGTTGACCTTCTGTAATCTTTTTCTTATTACTTATCATAAGCCTTGTCTTCTTAAAGTTTATATTGGATGTTACTTTTAAGGAGATTGGATATTACGTTTGAGGATGCTGTGTGTGAATTGTGCTGACAATATGTGGATCACTCTCAGCTGAGTATCGGCAATTATGTCTGTTCACCAAACCATTAAATGAAAATGAGCATTCATACGAAAAGCAAATATTATTTAACAATTGTGAATTGTTAATGATGCATTGTATCACTAATTCGCAAAATTTGAGACGTGATCAAAATCTTCTTCATTTACCTCTTGTAATAATTTAATTTAATATGGATGAAACTTAAATTTCTGGAGGACTCGGAAGGCTGTAGAAGATGAAACACCTATTGCTCTGGTTATTTTTGACGATGACTGTAATTGCTCCGCCTCTAATTTAACTTCTTGCCCTAAAACGACTAGTTGGATTGCTTCTTTATTTACAAGTCCCCATCGATTATGTTTTTATTTCAGACTGATCCTGTTGCTCTAAATTTCTAGCTCTTTTCAATCACATACTTATGAGTTGCATGTCTATTGTGGTGTGTTTCATTAAACATTCTAGCAGCAGCTCATCATCATCATCATCAACTAACATCTAACGTCCACTGCTGAACATAGGCCTCTCGCACGCTTTTCCATTTAGTCCGATTTTGCGCCATCTGAATCCAATTTGTAGTCACTCTTTTTATGTCATCTGTCCATCTCGTTGGGGGTCGACCTCTATTTCTGTAAGCTTGTATTCGGGGTCTCCATTCCAAAATTCTTTTTATCCACCGGTCATCAACTGATCTTGCTACATGACCAGTTCCACTTTAGTGTTGTTATTCTTTCAATAACGTCTGCTACTCCTGATATTTTGCGTATAGTATAATTGTGTTTTCTATCACGTAGAGAAATCTCTAACATAATTCTCTCCATTGTTCTTTCCGCAACTTGTAGTTTACTCACTGTTGTTCTTGTGAGCGTTAGGGTTTCTGCGGCGTAGGTCATCACTGGTAAAATACATTAAACTAACCTTGAGTTTTAACCTTGTTTAGGCTTACGCCTCTTCAAGGAATGGGGAACTCCTTTTTTTTGACGGAGTTGTGGGGGGTGTGAGAAAAACGTCAATTGAACGAAACGCGACCTAAGAAGTAGAGAACTACTAAGGAAAGGAGGGAAAAAGAAGGTGGCTTATTTTGTGACCGATAAGAATCGATTGAACGCACAAGAAGAAGTTGGGTTTGCCTAGCATGCAGTGTGAGGTACTTTAGGGTTACCAGCCATACAGTAGGAACGGCTCTTTATCAGCGTTTTTGGTGGGCAGTTTATCTGCGATAATAGATGGGGAAAGATTCAAGAATATCAAAATACTCGTTAAAAAGTTCAGGTCCAGCGTTATGTAGAAGTTTAGCTGGAGGGAATGGAACTTTTTTGGCGGGATGCCTGGTGAGTATTTGCCCTCTATTTGAACAAGGTGTCTTCAATGTTTGTTTTGCTCGGTTGTTCGGACCAGCTATGGTTCTTAAGACAAACTTCCTACTGAGGGTTAGGATTCTGTCCTTAATTGGCGTGATGTTGGTTATTGTATAAATGTGGGCTGATGGATACAGCCAATCTTTTCTCATGCAGAAGCGTGGTTGATTAAATAATTTTCTTTTCAGACACATTGGAATCTTGGACCTAAAAATATTCTTCAATTTTCCAAATGCAACTCAAGCGAGGTTTATTCTTTTTTTCAGCTCGATTGTTTGGTTGTCTCGACTTATTCTGATCTCATGGCCCAAGTATTTATAGGAGTCAACTGGTTCAATATCTTTGTCTTCTACTGAGATGTTTTTATTGTGGACTAAATTTGCCATAAATCGTGTTTTTGAAAAATTTATTTTAAGACCAATTATTTTACCTTTTTTTTGTGGTAGTATAGAGTTCTTGGAGCATTATCTGTGCCTGATCAAAGCTGTCTGCAATAAGAACGATATCATTTGCAAACTTAAGGCTATTTAAATATTTTCCATCTACATAAATGCTCTTTTCGTTCCAATCTAGATTGGAACGAAAAGGGTAGCAGCTCTTGCACAATTATTATTTTTGTAGTATAAAGCTACAATTTCGATGGTAGTGTAGCATTTGTATCTGTAGTAATTCGAAGTGTGAACCATTTCAGCAAACAAATTACACACGTATCAAAATTGTCTGTTACAAGTTATAACAAATTATGATTGGCTATTGACCAATTAAAATAAATGTTCAAATAATATCGAAAACATTTGATAAAGCTTTTTGTTTCTTGGGTTTTGAAGGTATTACATATAGTACGGTTGAATATTTAAAAAGTTTAAATTATGCTACAACTTATTTTGTTACAGCCAGGTAAGAGAGATACTATATCCTTAAAAGAAAAATTGTCTATCTTATAATCTAATTACTTTAAGCCAAATGTATTATACATTTTTGAAATTAGTACAAAAACGAGAAACCAAAGATAAAATATAAGAAGGGGGAAGTAATTTAAATAAATAAAGGGATGATACGGGGGTGAGAGGGTGCATTTCCCAGCAACCTTAAATATGATATAATGTCTCTCCGTTCAACAATTAATTGACGTGTTTTTCCGTTTTTCTCAAAAATTACATGTTTAAAAGTTATTTAAGGTGGATAGTTTTATCTGAAATGCACTGTATATATATTCGATATAATTTTTATTCTTTTGTGTTAATAGTATCTTCTTTCCACAATTACTTAACAAGAAAGACTTTTTTGCTTTCAATGAATGACGAAAACTTCCTTTTATTGAGGACCGTTACTAACGCGTTGATATCTGAAAAGAGCGCGTCGTTAAGAGCAACCAATGGCAACGACTACGTAAGCGTTTAATTCAACAGATTTAAAAGTTTGGTCGTGTGAGATTTAAAAGATTTACTTGTTTTACTGGCTTATTGGTATAACTTGAGACAAGCAGTTCTTTCCTCCTCAACCTATTTCATTAGAGACTATAAAGTGTTAACACTTGCCAAAAATAGATCACTTGAGAAAGACCATCAGCCGAAACAGCTGTAGTGATAAGAGGTTAAAGTAAATTTTGTGGAAGTTTGAAAACAAAGTTTTCAGTGTTTTATTGTTACATAAAATGAATTTTCATCAAGTTACGGTCGAATCCATCAGTTATTTATTTGTATTGCTATTAAGCCTAAAAATAACCAAAAAATTAGTTTTTATATTATAAAGAGATGGGATCTCTACTCTAGAGATGGGATTGCAGTAAATCTTCCTATTGTCAACAATGTCGTTATCTGTATATTACTTTTCTGTCTTAAATAGTTATTTCGTTATAATTAGTAGAATATTGTCTAAATAACAATTTAATTATTCGATTATGTACATTTTTACACAAATCACACCTAATTAAGATAATTCTATTTTAAATTTTCAACGGGCTATAAAATCTTCTTAGTTCGTAATTTTAAAGTTGACCTGGATTTTTCATAATTAAGTTAATTAAAAATTTCAGTACACCGTCTCGTATAAATCTCGGCTGTCAGTTTGTATAAATTATTCCCAGTGTTTGTCTTTCAACTTAATAAGTGAGACTCTAAAATACCTATTTATCTAGCAATTTAATCTTTAATGTGGTGTGAATAATTTTAAATAGCTACTTATACCAAATTGATTAACGTTGTTATTATTTAATATATTTTGATGTTCAAAAATGGTAAATATTCAATAATAATAATTTAAATATTTCAATGTTTTTTTACCTTTAAATTGAAAGAAAATGAAATAAATAAAAACAGGATAACGAGGATAAAAGGAAAGTCTTTTGCTGAACATAAAATAATAGCACCAATTTAAAGCAGGTATCAGCGGCAATAGAAGGAAAAAGAAAAGTAAAATGAATGGCATATCTCGCAAAACAGGAAAACAAAAAACAAAGTAGGTATATCGATGGAAGGCAACCGTAAATACGTACATATTTCTGACTATTCGGTCGTCATCAGTACGGTGCAGACAAGTTAGAAAATGAGCATGTTAACTTGCGACAGGATCACTACAGCAGCAATGCGACCAATTCATGGCATTAGAGTTAGAAGATCCTGATGGTTTCCGAGGCAACAACTAACAATAACCACGGAGGAAGCAACGGAAGGAATTATTCCATGGCCTACTATCGAACATGAAGGTCGTGTACCGGGCTCTGTGTTAGTAAAATCCGAATTCCTGACTATCGAGAGTATCGATCCAGGAAATATGAAGATTGGCATTAGACAGTGATTATTGAAATAGAGTTTTTTTTATCGATTTAAAAACAATAATTCTATACAATAAGATTTTTTCTCGGAACGGTTGAAGCGGAAGTAACTTTACAATATCCTAGAGAACCGACTGATTACCGGGGGACTTCTTCTTCTTCTTAGGGTGCCTGTCCGTTTCGAACGTTGGCGATCATTCTGGCTATGATAATTTTGTAATTTTGTTGGTTGCTATACGAAATAGCTGTGTTGAGGTCTTTCTATACCATGCTCTCAGGTTAGCAAGCCAGGATATTCTTCTTTGTCCTGGGGCTCTTTTTCCTTCAATTTTACCCTGCAAAATGCATTGGAGTAGCTCGAATCTGCCTTGATTTCTCATAATATGTCCCAAGTACTCCAGCTTACTGCTCTTCACAATGTTTACCAAATCCGCGGTTGTGTTCATCCTCCGCAGTACTTCTTCATTGGTGACTTTGTCTGTCCATGGTATCTTAAGGATTCTTCTGTATAACCATAATTCAAACGCCTGAAGTTTTGATAGAGTTTCCACCTTCAATGTCCAAGTTTCTACTCCATACAGAAGCACTGAGTATACGTAACATTTAAGGAGCCTTATTTTTGTTATCAGAGTGAGGTCATGGCTTTTGAACACAGAGCTCATAGCCAAGAATGCACTTTTGGCCTTTCCGATGCAACATTTAATCTCTTGGGTATTGTCCCACGATTCATTGATTATAGTTTCCAAGTAATTGTATTGTGAGACACGTTCAATTCTCATTTGGTTTACATGCAGATTTGCTCCAGTTATGTTTTGTTTGCTGATGATCATTAGCTTGGTTTTGCTGGTGTTTATATCCAGTCCATAGGTTCTATTGTTTCTGTTATTTTGTTCATTAAGTTTTGCAGCCCTTCTATGGTATTGGAAAACACTATTGTATCATCTGCATACCGCAGGTTATTAAGCTTGACTCCATTTATTAAGATGCCTTCATCAATATCTTTTAGGGCCTCTTCAAAAATGTGCTCCGAGTACAGATTGAATATCAGTGGTGAAATTATGCACCCCTGTCTCACTCCTCTTAAGATTTTGACCTGTTCTGTATATTCTCCATCTATTCGGAGTACCGCTGATTGATTCCAATACAGATTAGCTATAATTTTTAATTCTCTTCCATCAATCCCTGTCCTCTTCAGCACTTCCATCATTTGTTCATGCCTGACTCTATCGAAAGCCTTCTTGTAGTCAATCAGGCATGCAAAAACATTACA